AAGTTCGTTCTTAAGAAACACTCTTTGCCACATTTCGATCAGGTTTGATAGAAAGAGACAGGCAGTTTCCAAAGCAGAACAAGTGGGAAAGAGAGAGAGAGAGGGAGATCTTTTAGGTAGAAGCCGAGAGTGAGCTCACTCTGCTCTCTCTCCCTGTGCCTGAGTATGGGTGTATCTGTGTGGGACTTTTATCAGCTCCGAGGCTCCACAAAGCCGCGAAGAGCAATCACTTTTTGTAGAGCTCTCTCTATCGCTCTCTCTATCGCTCTCTCTATCGCTCTCTCTATCGCTCTCTCTCTCTCGGTCTCGCTGCCTATAAAAGTAAATCAGTTCTCAGAGCTCTCCTCTCCCCTTTCATTTTTTCTCTATACTTCTTTTGCCTCTTGGATTTTTCTCTCACATATGCCACCACAAGTGGCACCACGATGCGAGGCGATGCGATGCGAGTGGAGTGGAGCAATTAATTAGTGTGCTTAATTCGGATAATTATTCCAGGCAATAAAATTTTCAATACATTGAGATGATGATGATTGCACGAGCAGCCCACCCCTCCGCACCTCCCCCCCTTCGGGGACTGGCGTTGTGGCAGTGTCCACACCTACCCGAAAAATGGGAGATAGACAGAAGGACACGTTTAATTCAATTCGCGAAGGTTCCTTGACTTGTTTCGTTTTTTTCTTTTTTATTTATAAAATAAAGAACCCGAGGATAAAACTGGGAATAAAAATATACGTGGGGGAGGGGAGGGGGGCGACATTTAAATTCAAATCGTTCGAAGACGCTCTGACAAAGAAGCAGCGGCGCCACACGTCGGATTAATTTTATGTGCCCCAAGGAAGGAAGGGAGAAAGGAAGAGGGAGCATCATCCAGAGCCAGCCATCCAGCCACATCGCAGGACATTCTCCCTTTGGTTCAATTAGAGAAAAACTTCGGCGGTGGGGGACTGCTGGGTGGAAAGTCCTTTGGCATTTGCCATTGGCTGGCGTGCTATGCAATTGTTAAAATCGAATTAAGCCACGGTGTCGCATACTTTTGATCTCCCTGACGACGCCAACGACGACACCGAGGACACCGAGGACGCCAGGGACACCGAGGGGGAGGTACAGGACTGGGGGTTCCTCGTTCAGCCAATGAAATGTTGCAGTTCTCGGGCGAATGTCCTTACATTGTCCTTGCCATTGAATGGCTCTTTGTCGCTATCCATCCATGAGGTACGAGTGGGATGTAGATGTGCCTTGGCCCCGTGAAGATTTCGGTTTCAATTTCGGGTTTGCTTGGCGCAAATGAAATTAAACGAAGATTAGTCGTGTGCTCCGCGTAGATTATTCCAAGAAATAAAAATCTACCAGATCTACCATTGCCAGAGAGAGAGAGTAAGAGATACAGATGGTATGGACAGAGAGAGCGGGAGATACAGATACAGATACTCGAGAGTGGAAGCGTTCATTATTTTTTCGTTTTGCCGGCATTTGCCTTTGCTTTATTTTCATTTTCATTTGTATTTTTATTTTCCTTCGTCTTGTTTGCTTTTTTATGGCCCCCTGAAGGTGATTTGGCCGCCCCCATTACCGTGGGAGGGGCTAGAAGAAGGCTGAAGATTAGTCGTGGACCAGGGGCTGGGGCAGGGGCAGGGGCAGGGGCAAGAGCTTAGATTAGTGGAGCACAAATCTGAGCAAATCACAAGCTCCATTTAACCCACAAATGATGGGCCAGCTTTGGCATCAGATGGAATTTATGAAAGAGTTTCTTTTGGTTGAACATTTAGGATTGGCCAATTCCCGGGATAATGAATGGAAGGCTATACTTTAGGAGGCTGGATCTTTATTTTAACGTTTCTAAATGGATTTTGGGTTCTTTTTAGTTTTATAGCTGGTACTTTCGATCCTTGAGGACATTGAGGACCCGAAGAGCTACACCTTTTTCTTGCCTGCTCACATTCCAAGATTATCGGGGCATCTGTCTATCATTTTGTGATCATTTGATTGATTATAATCACTGTCATTTATTTCAATCATGTGATCATTAGCGCCACGTGGAGCCTCGTTGTTGCTGCTTTTATGACTGGCTATGGGATGACGGGTGTATGCAGCCTATGTGTGGACTCTGGCACTACAAATATAGTAAAAATAGTAGAAGAATATTCCATAGGTGCGTCAAAGCCTCTAATACCCTTCAACGAGAATGATCTTGAATGAGAAGATGATCGTTTTTCGTTTATCTCTCGGAATTCCATCGAAGTTTTGTAGTCAAATTCTTGACAACATGAATGGAACCATAAGATAATGGATTCCATAAGCACAGGGTGTTTCGCTGAAACACTGAAAAGTTATATCCTTGGAAAGGGGATACTTGTGAACACTTGTGAACTCCAACAGACATAATTCAGACTATACACATATCCTTCCTTGTAGGGTATTTGGCGATTCGCTTTTGGCGTCTTTTCAGCTTCTAATCGCAATTTGGGAAGAGTAAAATTACTTGTCTTTCATCGTAAGCGCAACCTCCGCGATAACCTTTGATCCGCAACCTCCGTCCTGGGATGCTTTCAGGGTTCACTCGTTTCTCAATTGCCTGTCGGGGTCTCTTCACTTTTCACAGCTCTTCGCTGCGCCCCTGCCCCTGCCACTGCTTGTGTGTTCAATTAAAAAATGGTTGCCATTAATTGCTAACCAATTTGCAGTCCGGACACTTCCTGCCGGTCTGTGCGGCGGCTGTGGCGGGACGAGTGTCTCAAGTGTCCCGGACTGGATTTTCCAGCTCCTCCTCCTGCATCCTTCGTCCTCCTCCTGACACTTTGATGAGCAGCAGATGAAGCGGAGGCCGTTGATGGCGACATTTTTTGCATATTAATTGAAGACAGGGCCGCCCTGGTCGGTGCCTGACTCATCCTTCAGTCGAGTAACCATACCCCTTCCCCCATCCCCCAATCCACCATCCATAAGGTCCCGTCCCTTGGCTTAATTTGCGGTAAGTTCATTAAGTAATAAAACATAAATTTCATAAATTTTTTGTTTATTTTTTTCTCGTTATTTCTTTTTTTTTTTGTGATTGCTCTTTCGGGCGTCCCGCGTCCGTCATCAAGTTCTTGATACTTTTTCCCCGTTTTCCTTGTTTTTAATGCTTTGCATATTTCTTTAATGAATTAATTCTGTTTTGGCTTTCGGTTTGGCTCTCTGTTGATTCACCGTTCACTGGACTTTGATAAAAAACCAGAAAGCCAGCAGCAGCAGCAGCAGTTGCGATAAAAAACGACGGGCGAAAGACCTCAGAGAAATAATATTTTGTATAATTTATGCGGAAAACATTACGGGGAGAAATCATAAAGAGAGAGGGAGGGCGGGATGGTGGGTGAACGGGGTGTTAATTATGCGCTAGTCTGCAAAAAGTTTTCTATCAATTTTTGGGAAATATAAATTTGAGAGCGTAAAAACATGTTTTGCATATGAAAATCGGAGGGAAACTAGTCGAAAATGTTGCGCTTTCCTTCAGCGGCTAATTGCGTCCTCTGGGGGGCACTCCGATCCGATCCGAGCAACAACAAAACTTGCATCCAATTGCAGATGGAGGATGGAGCGTGTGTCCAGATCTGAGGACTGGTTCTGGCTTTCTGGGGTTCTGGTGTCAGGTTGTCACTCTCTCTCTCTCTCTCTCTCTCTCTCTCTCCGTTGCAGTTGTTTGTTGTCTGCTGTCTGCTGATTGGTGACATGCCCCCTGACTATGCCGCAAATGAGCCGTGCAATTGTCGGAGGCAGCCTCCTATTGACAGCTCCTATTGATGCAGCTCCAGCTCCAGCTCCAGAGGAGCACCGAAGACCCCGCGGGATTCGTCTCGTGTTTCCGAGAGACGTGCACACGGATGGGGGGTGCCCCTGACTGACAACTGTCGTCGGTTTCTATCGCGAGAACCCAATTCTGACACTGAAAAGTGTGACGATTTATTTGGCATATGTGGCATGTGGCATGGGGGAACAAAGTGGAGCAGATGCCTCGGATCTATGGCTTCCACTGGACATCATTAGTCTTGGATCGTATTCGACTCTGGCTGAGGCTGTGGAAATCTTAATAGATTTATGCTCATCGCTTCAACAGATTCTTCTACTCATTCCGATCATTTGTCATGGCACTCGTACAAGCGGAACCATCTTCCATTCTGTGGTTCCGAAAAATCAACAATTGTGTTCTAAATATACGACTATATGCTTTGTTTGAGGATCCGGAATGTATGGTTTTAAATGGAAAATAAATCAATATTTAAAGTGTACCAAAAGCTAGGTCCAAAGCACACTGTAAAATCGGGTACCATTGAAATGTATGCACCTTACTCAAGTTACTCTGGAATCTAGTGTACGATCCATGTAATACGTGAGCGGAGCAGCTGGAATCTCAGTTATTTCCAGCTCTGGGAGGTTCATTCCAGAATGAATCACATCAGATTAGATTACATTCAATACTCTATTGGAATCTATAGAGATGTCCGCCCAATGGAGTTCTCATTAAGAAGAAAAATAGCAAGATAACAGCTAATGCAAGTGTCCTTTAATGGAAGATGTCGTATAGAAAATACAGAAGATGTTCCAGAGAGAAACCTCGTGTGTGCTGCGTCGATCCTAGTGATTCCATTATCAATTCTTGTTGGAGATATACGAGTATCTTTGCCAATTTCCTAAGCGAAAGTCTCAACATGGTTACTTTGCAAATTCTTTGATGATTAGTGTATTTCAACGAGTTCTTAGAGCATCCATCGAGTTCAGAGATAAGATTTTATATTGCTCGTACCTTGACGCTTGGAGATAGTCGTCGCCTGGCCGCAGATAGGCTTCGAAGTCGAACCTTTGCCAAGACTGAGTACATTGCCTATCAGATCACACGCTTGGGACTGGCACTCTTATCGCTGACGATGGGTTCAGTTCAAGAGGTCAGTGGAGGCCAGTGATAAGCCCGAATCCAGACCCATGTATAATCGGAGACGCTGCGACTATCATCTGTGCATTCCGTGTATAACTCTCGATCCGCTATGTTGCGTCTGGGCTCGCTGCTGCTGCTGCTGGCACTCGCCATCGTGTCCGTCTCCGTGTCCGTCCACGGGGAGTCGATCAACTTCCGCAACTGTGCGGACAGCGTGGATGTCTGCACCGTGGATCAGGTGCGCGTGAGTCCCTGCCCCCAGGCGGCCAGCAATGCCGCCTGCCACATCCGCCGCCGCCGTCCGGCCGTCATGAGCTTCGACTTTACGCCGCAATTCGATGCCGACAGCCTGGGGGCGACTCTCGGATGGGTGAAGGATGAGAACACGGAGCTGCCGCTGCTCAGCCTGGAGCGGGACGCCTGCAAGGCCACAGGCTGCCCCGTGAGAAGCGGCGTGCAGGCCACCTACACCACGGAGGTGCCCATCGAGGCAAAGTTCCCGCTGAGCGCCTACACGATCCGCTGGGCCCTCAAAGATCCCGCGAGCGGCAAGCGGTGCTGCTTCCTCATCGACATCAAGGTGGTTCGATAGGCGATAGTCATGGGAATAAATGAATAAAATGCGTCGTCTGTTAACAATTTTGTGCGTTTTTTAATTATCCGTGGAATCGTTAAGGTTACGGCTCTCTGGGGAATCCCGGCGGACACAGGAATCGGAACAGATAGATTTGCCGGCGACTCATTTGTCGTCCGCTGAAGGGAAATACAAGAAAAAAATGTATAAAACTTTGATTGAACTTTTGGGTGCCATTAAAAAAGCCTCCGCCTTCGCCCTCGCCACGGCTTTCTCCTCAGAGGGTCTTATCAGCGTCGTCAAACAATTAAAAATTGAGCACTTAAGTTGTGGTCATAAAATCATTTGTTTTTCTTTTTTTCCCCCTATTTTTCTTCGTTTTTTATTGTTTTTCTGTTCACATTTTTCAGTGGTGGAAAATTCAAATAGCAAATCACTTTTGATGACCTCCAAAAGGGGGACGAATGAGGGTATATTGGGTTTAGGGAGAGGATGTTGTAGATACGGTACATGAGATGGATTCATTGTAGAGTCAATCTGATGGAAAGAGTGCCTTGAGTTTGAAGAAGAGAGGAATAGTGCCTCCTACTTGGGCCAGACGGAAGAGTACTTTTGGATATGGAATTATAGGAACAGTCTACATATACCTAAAATATACAAATCTATCGGAAAGAGAGCTTTTCTCTTAGGACTTATACGAGTTCTAGCATCCAAAGATCGTATTTAGATACTCCGAAGCATCAAACGTTTTGGTATCTAGATTTTCTCAAGAATCCAGCACATGGGGCTGTATTTAGAGGTGTATATCTGATAGTATTTCAGAGATATAGCTTTCATTCTCTATAGATATAGATATCCAGCGTTTGAGACCTTCCGAGGGTATCTTTTGTGCCATATCTTCCCCTACAGCCACTCGATTCACTCTCATTTTTTGTTTACCTAAACGAAAACCCGAGAAGTATTCACATTTCGGGGGGGCGGAGGTCACCAGATAGGCCTGACCCCAAAAGCAAAGTAAAAAGAAAAGTGAAACGACAGCAGCCACCACTTGAGCAAATAATAATAACGAGAATAATCAGAGCGAAAGTCCTTTAATAAAATATGTCCATTGTTACTCAATTTTGCAGCAGATTGTCTTGCGATTCGGATTCTGTCAGACGGTGGCATTGGCCTCGCCGTACTTGAAGCCCAGGACGTAGGGCGTCTTCGTGAGCTGCGAGATGATGTGGCACTTGACCTCCTCGAAGCAGGGGGTGGCGTCCACGTAGAGCACCTCCCGCCGCTGGCTGAGGTAGGCGTTCAGGAGGGGCTCGCTCTTGCGGAACTGCTGCATCTGGCGGTCGAGGTAGGTGTAGTTCGCCTGGGGCCCCGCCGCGTAGCTCTTCGTGAGGATGCGCATGCGGGCCATGCGCTCGTTGATCTGCAGGAAGATCAGGCGGTTGGGCGGCACCGTGGCGCACTCGAAGAGCTCGCGGGCCTCGCATCGGTTGTTGGGGTAGTTGATCAGGATCCAGCCGCGGTGCAGGGCGTCCTCCTTGAGCAGCCGCTCCTGTACAATCCTCCCGATGGCCTCGGAGCGCCCGAAAACGCAGTCCTCCTCGATGGCGTCTTGCAGTTGGCCTGTGTTCTCGTCCTGCCGGTGGCCGTTGATGCTGTGGTATGCGAGGACATCCGCATCGATGATCAGCAGGTCCCAGCGCTTGGCCAGCACATGGGCCAGGGATCGGCGCCCCGATCCCGGCCTGCCATGGAGGACGAGGCGGTGCAGGCAGGTCTTCGGCAGCTGGTAGAAGTCCCCCGGGACCCCGCGATGGACTGCGTCCAGGTGCTTGGTGTAGATGTCGATGCCGATGCGACGCACGTTCGCCCCCATCCAGTGGCGCAGATCCTCCACGGGCTGCTCCGAGACCTCCGCCAGCAGACGGCTTATCACCTCCAGGAGCTTGTGCTTCTCCATGTAGTACATGAAGGCGGCCCCATACTCCACGAGGAGCAACTTGTCGAACGTCTTCGGGAAAGACATTGTGGGATAGACAGCGAAATGTGTGTTTTTTGGGGGGAAAAAAATATAGTTCAAGGAATCTGACGAAAGGAACAAGTGATTTTGAGACTCGTTTGAAGCTGTTTTCGAGGGTTTGCTATGAGAAAATTGTTGTCACCGAATGATTGAGCATTGAAAGAGTCTACATTATATTAAAGACTATAAAAGAATCCACCAAAAACTACACTGTCTTTGGCGACGCGCGAAAGTCGGCCCCAAGAAAGCAAAAACGAAGCACACTTCACATGAAATATCCAACGAAAATAGAGATTTAATGTGTTTCTTAAGAAATATCTAGGGTTATACCATATTTTCTTCTCGGGATGATTCTCATACTAGAAAACTCCCGACTAGACATCTTCTTCGTCCCATATCTCATGTATATCTTTTTTTTTGAAGGGTTATGCCATATCCTCTTGAAGTACTTATCCATGCCATCCATCTCCGCGTCGAGACTTCATTATACGAGAAATAACTGAATGTCCATTACCATTAAGACGACAGTTCTGTTGCTGGGATTTCTTCCATTGTTATTACCATATTAATTGCTTCCGTTACAATATTAGAAAATGGCGCGTACTTCCGGACAGTCGGAGGATTGGGGCTTCGCGGCCAAGACGTTCTCCATTTAATGGCCAAGTAATGTCTTCCCACAGCCAGATTCAGAGCCATATCCAGCGCCATATTCAGAGCCATATCCAGAGCCAAGTGAAAGGCAAATTGGCTGCCATATGAGTGCCGTTCGTAGGGTGACAATATTTTGCAGCGAATTATGACAGCTCTTTTGTCTTGGAACAATTTAAAAACGATGCTAACGGACTGCCAAGTGTTGCCAAAATGTCTGTCATACTTTATGTTGTCTTATGGGCGAGCAGCGCATCCTTGGCATGTCCTGGCTGCTGGCTAAGCCGGAATGCAGGCGATCCTTATGAGGAGATGCCATGAATGCCGCCTGCTATCCGGACTGCGGACTCCGGAGTGGCCTCCATCTCCACGGAGTGCTTCAGTGGGTGGAGTGTTCTGTTCCGACTGCTGCCTTCGGAGTGGCTAATAAAAACCAACACAAGATGAGAAATTGTTTCCTGTTGCTGCCTTGGGTGGCTGTAGTCCTTGGCAGGACACTCTCCATATTGTTATGTCAAATATGCTGTTAATATCTTGCACACACTAATATCATAGCCTCCTCCTCCTCCTCCTTCCCCTCCTTGGAAATGCATTTGCTTTGGGGTTTATCGAAGGGCTCCTCCAGCTGGCAGGAAGAATACTATGCAAAGAAGGAGAAGGATCTTAAGATGGGGATAAAGGAACAAAGAGTATAACCTATGGATCTATGTGTACCCTAGAATAGGGGTCTTATGGCGAGAAGGGGTAGTTTGTTGACACACACATCTCTTGTTTCTGCAAGTATCTGGTATCTTTTTCATATATGTATCTACCATCTTCTCGATCGATCTTTAAGGGGTGTCCAAAGTTTCGGGCTCTCCAAGCCACCCCTTTCTCCCCTTGTTTTTAATTATATAAAAAACGAAAACGAAATCAAAATATGAATAAACGAATCTGAATGCGAATGTGACTATGCTCTGCGGCTGTGACTGTGTGGCTGCCACAAAGCGCAACATTTTTAATTAAAGTCAAAGCGAAAAGCGAAATGCGACAACGGGAACGACATCGAGAACGGGAAACAGAACCAAAACCAGATAATGATAACAGCCATCCCCCCCCCCGCCGACCCACCATCTCTCCGTCTGTCAACCTCTCGTCACTGCGTCGCTGCGATGTTCTTCCGAGAAAGAACTGTGCTAAATTACATTTCATCATTATGGCCACACACTCAAACAAACACCCATAAACACTCATATTCGCTCGCAGTATTCATGTGCATCCTTTTTTAATCGCCAAAATTGTGGCACAAGCCGCGCTGCTGCTGTCGTCCATCGGTATCTGACGCAGCGTCCGAGTCGAGTCACTGGAAGAAACGAGTCACAGAAATCGCACAAAAAGCGACAGACAAGATGGCGGGGCATGGCAGTCACAACGAAGATAAAGATACTCTTGAATGGGATTCTAGAAAGGATAGGACGCATAGGACTTATAACCAATACAAAAATTATAGATTTAAGATGTTGTCGGAAGGTTTTTGTCGAGGCAGAAGGTAGAAGTGATTAGAAGTGACCTCAATCCCAGATCGACTATCAGAAGGATGCACATGATAATTCTACACATCCATGTCAATCCACAGACTTTCTAGCCTGAACTTTGCCAATCTCTAATGAAATGTACATTACCCCCAGGAAGCGTATTCGAAATACTTTCAGCGGCTTTGTGAAAAACTACGCCACTGATGGGTCCACAGAAGCGCTGATTGAGTGAGCAATGGGAAACGGGCACACGCTTCAAGAGCCTCAAAGGCCAGAGGCCAGTGGCCAGTGGCCAGAGGGGGAGGGAGAGCGGCAGTGCTCGACGGAGTAGTACCCCCTGTAATCAAGCCTAAGCAGAGATCTATTCAGCCTCAGCACGCCCCTGGTACCCTGTGGGATTCAGAGTACAGCCACCGCAGCAGCCACAGCGGAGTGATAAGAAAAAGTGACGTTCGGTACTAGGCACCGCCTCGAAGATCCATAGAGAAGGCTATAGCTGTAGCTTCAGCTTCAGTTCTAGCTGTAGATTGTTGCACGCTCGTTTTGAAGTCTGCCGCCGTCCCAAGTCCGAGTGCTGCATCGCACTTTGGAGAGCGACTTGCATCTGTGCGGCGGCGTCTTATCGGACTCGACCTTATCGACGACGACACTTCCTTTGGCTCTCATCTGCTGGTCGTCTGACTGCTGAGCCGGAAGTAATGAGTGCCGTGTCGCCTTTCGGTTATCAATTTCACAATTGCAAAAGAGTTTATCAGCCGCAGAACCAGCATACAAATGGGGGGTTTTTCTTTGGAAAGGGCATGGGTGGGAGGCACCTCTGGCTGTTCTTTTTTTGTTCCTGTCAGCCACAAAACACTCTCCACTCAACAATTAAAAATCATTTTTCATCTGCCAGCGCACACGCACACAATTGCTAGTCAACGAATCCCCCAGAGTCCCCCCGGAGAACGGGATTCAGAAAAAATTCGAAAAAACAAAGCCACACATCAACAGGCGGCTGGAGCCAGGAGTCGCCTGTCGGCCAGGGATATATGGCATATGTGGGCTGGCCGGGCGGGGGGTGGATGTAGAACTTTGTCATGCCGACAATTTGCTGCCAATATTTTGCCAATTTTTTTTGCACTCCAACAGAGGAGGAGGAGGAGGAGGGTGTCCTGTTCACTGGTTTGCCTTCAATTATGCAGCAATTGAAAAATTACTACGTGTACAACAATTTGTGATTCGGATTCTGATTCTGATTCGGTTTTTTATCCCTGCAGCCTCTGGGAAGGGCAGGGAAGGGTTGGATGAGTGTTAGGATGGGGCAAGGAAAGGGCGACAGGCAGACAACAGGTTTTAAATTTGTCACCGCAACAACAATGCAGCAGCGCAACAACGTTAGAACGAAACAACAAGAATGACAGACGCCAAATGAAGCGCAAATTTAATTACGTGAATTTTATTGGATTAACAAGCGAAACCTGGAAATCCTGGCCACTGTTCCTCCTGGCTGCTCCTGGCTGCGTGAAAACAAATTTAAATATGCCGCACACATGTGCTTGCCCCTGCCACTGCCACCCTGGCAGGGCTGTCTAGTCGCGTAGGTGAGTCGTAAATTTACGCGCCATTGTTGTCCTGTGGCTCTCCTCCCCCTCCCCCCGCTCCTGGTCCTGCCGTCTCCTGGACTCCTGCGTGTCTGTGTGTTGACGCCAATGTTGGACACCTCCACCCCCGTCCTGTCCCCCTACTGGAAGGGGACGCTATCTTCCTTTTTTGGCCTTTTCACTTATGCAAACGGAACATTTGAAAAATATGTTGGCATCGCAGGATAAACAGAACGGCAGCCAAGTGCAGCTGATGCCCCCAGACAGGCGACGGGGCCTTTTCCTTCTGCAGAGGCTCTCGGCCTGCCGCTTCTCTGCTCTGACATTTTAATGAGCATGCAACGCTGCAACGTGCAACGTGCCGGGGTCCGAGTCCTTGTTAAATTCATTAGTAAAACGTTGCACCTTCAGCGCAAATCCACAGAGAGCGAGAGAGAGAGAGAGGGGGTGAGGGAGGGGAAGGGGGAGCACACACGTCTGTTGGGCCTGATGTTGCCACATAGCATAGCACACACGAAATTAAAACCTCCCTTCGCCCAGCCGTTGCCCCCCGTAACCCCCCCAGTGGCAGCATCAGCCCCAGTAGCACCCGTAGCATCCGTAGCATCCACACACCACGAACCAACAGACAACATGACATGATACCGATACTAAACTGACACTTTGACATGGACTTAACCCTAAAAACGCTTTGTTGGCTTTATTGGTGTCGGTTGCCTGGCCGCCTGCCTGCCCCAGGAGGATGGGGAGTATGGGGCTGGGGTCATGGTGCGTGTTTTGGGGGCCGCACCAGCCTTCGCCCAAAAGGTATCCACTTGATTTTTGCACTAATTTACGTGGATTAAGCGCTCTCTCGACCCCGACAGAGCCTCGTGACCCGTGGCCGTGGGTATTAAGCCTAAATACCTTTTAATTGACAATTTGTGTTTGGCAATTTGATGCCTTATTTTGTTTATTTATTGTGTACACAACACTGCAGCAGGTGGGGTTGTGTTTCGGATCATTATATTACAATATATAGACACACAAACTGAAGGCAGATATCGAGTGGTCGAAGCACAAAATGAATCTATCCTGTGGGAAAGTTTTACAACAATTTAAAGTTTTAATGGAAATCTATAATATTATTACCGGGCAAAGTTTATCCTGTTCTCTGATCCGGCTCTCCAATTAACCTTCACTTTTGACCCCAAGTTTTCGCCCGCGAACAATTCCTTGGCTCCTTGGCTGCAGGTGAAGCCTCGCCTCATTTGTATGCCACTAAACTGGGGGAAACTTTTCATCCAACAATTGCCTCGAATCAATTCCTGTGCACTTTCCCCCTCCAGCGCCCCAGCTCTCCAGCCACAGCCTCTGAAAAGCTGAAAAGTCGCTTGTCTCGCCACACAAGTGCAAAGTTCTCCCTCGGAGAAAAAAATTGCTTAAATCAGCGAGTTTTTTGCGCTATATCCCACTCCCTGGGAAAGTTTTAGTCGTGGCCAGTCAGCCGCTTAAGCCGCCGCCGCCTCCACCGCCGCACGGTGCAATGGTGTCCTTACACAGAGAGAAAGGATCTATAATCTGCATCTATTAAGAGTCCATATGTAGATGTAGAAATGCTTAAAAATATATTTACGAAACAAGACTTTTAACTACTTAGGAATCTCAATAATCTCAATCTAGAATTATCAGTGAAATTAATAGAAACAAATCTCAATAAGGAGAAAAATTTCATAGAAAAGGCAGTTTTAGTACAATAATTCTTTGTATAATAATATCATACTATAGAAATCGCTTAAAACCCTATACTGCTGGACAGATTCTTTCCCCAGAAACTTATTTTATCACATTTATTCATTAGATAAACATTGGTACATTTTACATTTTACTCTCGTATTTTTCTAGAATTAAACGTCTTCAATTGAGAATAGAAACACATACTCAGACATCGGAGAAGTCTTATCTTGTTTTAACTGAATTACTGAATTAATCTTCTCTGTTTTTTCTCGCAGTGCACCTTTATCTTCTTCATCTAATTGAACCCAACAGATATTTTCAATTAGCAGCAAAACATTTGTGAGCTAAAAAAAGTTTTATTTAATTTTTTCGTTTGCTGTTTTTTCTGTTCTTCTGTTGGCGAATGGTTGGAGGGCCCTGGACCCGGACACCTTGAGCCAAGGGATTGGGATTCCTGCGGGGCGAACACGTCCAGGATCCAGTATACAGGATCCGGCATACAGGTCCAGGTCCTTGTCCAGGCGCCAATAAAAAAAGGCACCTTAGTGCCGTGGCGTTCCGTGCCGGGAAGGAACTTTGGCCAGCGGCGGGAAAACTTTTTAATGCCATTAAAGAACGAAAAAATGACGCAACAAGACGCCGAAAGTTTTCCTCTGTTTGCAGCGGAAAAGGTGGGCGGGAGAGGGCGGTAGGGAAATTCAATGCAGGAGAAATTTAAGCTCAAATTTAGACAACGGGCATAAATCAATGTCCCTGTGTGTGCGTGTGTTTTCCTTGGTGTCGGGGAAATGGGAGTATTTTTCGGGGATTTTCGCAGGGCCCTCCATGAGGCAAAGTGCGTAAATTGAATTGATAAAAGTGGGGAAAGGGTAGGGGGTCCGGGGTCCGGGGTACGGGCTGCCAAAATGCAAATGCAAATGCGTGATGCTCGTGACGGAGTCCTGCGCCGGAAATGACTACAAAATGTTGCAAATCTACAACTTGAGATAACAGGCCGAGAGTTCAAACAAACTAATTCAAAGTGTGTGCGGTCCATGTCCGTGTCCGTGTCCTAGCACCAGGCCTGGTTAGAGCCCTGCCCTCTGCATGCAACACAAATCAGCGCATAATGGCTGCCCCATGTCCCCCAATATTCGGGCCACATGTCGCCTGTCCATGCCCATAGCTGTGTTTGCATTCTGCATTCTACGGTCCTCATGGGAAGGGCAGCAGGAGGTACAGGAGCAGCAGCAGGACCCCGCCACACGCATTTCAATAATTCTAATTAATTTATTAACGCTTATCAGCGGCGATAAATTTGCCAGGCCATGTCCTGTCCATGTCCTCTGCCGGATTACGGCTAACTCTGTGCGAACTCTTTGCTGATGCTTTACTTTCGAAGGGCGGGAGGGGCTTACTACCATATGGCCACTCCCCTGACAGTCAGTCACAGTCACAGAACCCTCCTCCGAGCCCAATGCCACCTCCTACATCCTCCTTTGAGGATGGGAGTCCCATTCCAAATGGCCTTTTCTTTGGGGAGATGAGATGCACATGGAGCGATAAGTGGAGCAGCCATAAACGAAATGAAAAACTTGGGAAAACTCGCAGCAAAACCGAGTCATTGACATCTCTCGTAAATAAGCAGGACGTCGCAGGACTGTGCAGGACTACGACTAGGCGTTGATTTTAAAATGAGCCCCATTGATAAGAGAATGCTTTGAAGCGAAAGAAAATGCTGAGGTGGCTGAAAGGAAAGTAAGTTTTGGAATGGAAGGAACGACAGGGAGTGGACTTTGGGGATACCCTGGAATGCAGATGGAGAAGGGACTACAGAGAGAGGGAGTATGGGAGTCTTAGAGATGAATATTCGAAGAAGATCTGGAAGGTTATTCCAACTGATGTCGAACCTTGGAACCTTTACGGTAATTACCCGCTAATGTCATCCTCAATGAAAATCATTCAAACATCATATAAACATGTGATAAAGATAAGGAGAAAGGATCATAGTTTGACCGAATTGTAACTCTTTAAAGATTATTTAGATGAATATCCAAACTTCTTCTCTTGATACAAATATTATTAACTCTTTATACCAATCTTGTGGATAAACCTGTGCAAGGATAGCTAAAAATATTCCTGTATTCAAATGAATCTACCCTGCTTCTCCTGCAAATACAGGGTACCATTAACCACTCACTTGGCTGCTCCATTTTTTTTATTCTGGTTTTTTTCTATTTTATTTTATTGTAAGCCTCGAAATGACTTTTGTTTCTGTCGCCCGAGCGACGACGACGGGAAAGTGTTAAAATTTATTGACGCATTTAGATCAAAACTAAAAATTGTCTTCCATTTGCCTTGGAAACCTCCTCATTCGGGGTTTTTCCTACGCTTTTCTGCTGAATCGACAGATCAGGGGCAGGACCACGACAAGAATCAGGACTCTGCTCACTTTGGTTTTGGCCCTGGAGCTGGGGGCGTGATTGCTGTGTGTGTTTTGTTTTAATACGAAAATCCCTTAACTTGTGCCTCCTGCCACACTCTGCTGATGCTGCCACTGCCACTGCCACGGAGGTTGGCCAATCCGCCCCTGCCACTCGTGGCACTCCTGGGCGGCTGCTTCCCTAGCCGGCGGCCAAACAATGTGGACTCTGTGGAAGATACCTTTAATGCATTTTACTCATATTGAAAAGCACTTAAGCGCGGGGGTTGCGAAAATATGAAAATCATAAAAACCGTACTCTCGGATTGCTGCCAGAGAGAGGGAGAGGGAGAATGGGAAAGAGATTTCCGAGCCGAAGGTTGCTTATTTTATTATTATTTTACAGGGAATTATCTCATTTGAGTGGAGTCTTCTGCCTGCTGCTATCCCTCAAGCTCTCTGCCATCTTCTCCACGCTCCACGCTCCACGCACCCCTCCCCCTTTCCCCATCTCCTGATCCTGTGTAATGTGTGCGTAATAACATAATATCCTTAAGATATTTTAATATTGCCTGCCGCTGCATATTGAACTGCGGCATCGCATCGCACGACTCCTCGGTTCTGGCTGCTTGGTCCTGGGTCCTGGGTCCTTGGTCCTGGCCGCATTTCAACATATTTGGCTTTGCTTTGGCTGTTTGCTTGTTTGCTCCTGCTGCGAGTCCTGCTCTGAGCTCTGGATCCTGCTGCTGTTTCGCTTTTCCTTCCTTCCTTCCTCCTTCGATGTTTTGCCTTTTAACAATACCTTTGTGCATCGTAAAATAATTGCCGCAGGGGCATGTAATCTTCCTCTGGCTTCGGTTCCCCTCCACTCCACTCCTCTCCTCTCCTCCACTCGCGCGGTGGCTTGCAATTTTCATTTCGCTCGATTTCGGTTTTCCATTTTTCCCCCATTCCATTCCCCATTCCTCCGCTCTGCTAAAAGGTTTCCTAAACGCTGGCTGGCTTATTGAGGGACATCTTTATGGATGTTTGGCATATTTGGCATATCCACGGAGTTTACTCGACTTTTTCGAGTGGCGGATAAACAAGTTTATTAAGGCATTCGATGGGAAATCGATGGCCAGCGTGGAATCGTTTCGGTGCAGGTGCAATGCTGTATTACTCCATCCAGAAATTTCAGAGATGGGGCAATACTTCGAGGAATTGCAATGGAAAGCAGTATATATCTTTATGTAGCAATGTTTGCCATTCAAAGACTAGTCTATTCCACAATTATTTATGGGGAAGAGCTTCAATTGATGGCCAGGCAATGAAGTGCTGAAGATATTCTGGAATAATACCAATAAATGGATGAAATATGTCACTCTGGTAAAGTTCTAAAGTGACACTGTTCTACTTGATTGATGATACGTAATCCTAAACCATCGTTAATTTTCAGTCAAATATGTACTTATTCTCATTACATCACTGTTATCCTCTCCCCCTGAATACCCCATATTCATTCAGATCGTACTTTAACGAATACCTATAAAAGTTAGAGCCCGCTTAGCTGTCTCCCTGGCATTTCTCCATCTCCAGCCATCTCCATCCTGCAGCATCCATAAATCCATTAACTGATTCTTCTCCTTCTTATGTGTTTATCAATAATGTGCTCGGAGCTCTATTCCGATTGTTTTTAATAAGTTTCTGGCCCCTGCCCCTGCCGCTGCCGCTGCCCCCAAAGAAGAGCACGACATATGCGGCAACAATTTAATGTTGACTCATAAATAAAATCGTTTTGCCCCCTCTATGACTCTGACTCTGGTTCTGTCTCTGTCTCTGGTTCCTGGTGGGATTTCTTAGTCAAAGTGCGGTGACATTACTCGTATTGGAAGAAGAGTCGCCCCGAGTGGAGTGTGTGTTGGCGGCACTCGAGTTATTGACAAGTTTATGTGCTTAATCCTTCCATAAAGCGCGCCATTAAAATGCCAACAAAAGGTACTTTATATGAAAATCGCTCTCTTGCCCCTGGCATCCAGCGGGGTCTTTGCTCTGCTCTGTGACCACTTTTATCGTCGAAAGACCGACGACCCATCCCATTCCATTCCATCCATCGTTCATATTTCAATGAACGCACCGAAATTTGAATGCTCCTCTCGTTAGTGTGTGCGGAGTATCTGTGTGAGGGTCGGTGTGGGTGCGAGCGTAAGACAATCGACAATTGTGGGCGTGTCGAATGGCACACGAGGTTGGATGTTGGAGGCAGCTGCCAGCCTCGCCTCATCATCGTCTTCTCATCTGCGGAATGAGGAATGAGCGTTTTCCTGATATGCCCGAGTATTTTTATTGCCCCATCGCCATTCCCTGCATAATAGTGAAAAACTAGACATCTACTCGTGCAATATCTATGCCGATATATAGGGGATCGTATCTGTATCTGTATCTGTGTACTGCGTGTAGCATAGAAATCATTAGCGGACCGCGGGTCGAGCCGCTATTTGCCGCAAAACTCACGAATTCGTAATAAAAATGTTTCGCACTTTGCAAACGTGTGGCCCCCCTTGAAGATTGGAAGATTTTTTCGGGGTGTGGCATATTTCGAAACAGATCTGAAAGCAGGCATTCATTTTTTAGAATTTTTATTTACTGCCCAAAAAGAAAAAATGAAGTTTAAATTATTTCTCTGAACTCATTTCAAAAGTGTTCAGAAGTCGTTATGAATGGAATGGGTATTCGGATTGTAGAGCACTTTGTTCTGTAAAAATAAATAGATTTTTGGGATAAGTACGAGCAGAAGTAGAGGGGATAGAGCAATTCCTTTCGAAGATATATTTTAACATATTTTATCCAATAAAGAAACGTGATCTATCATTCGTATTTCATGAATGAAGCCACACCAATTTCTGCCTAGATCATCCGTTGGTA